TTTATCACCAATATTGTAGTTTGAGTCCAAGTTTTTGAATAAATTACATACCATTAGTAGTTATTGTGGACAAGTTCCTTTAATAAGTTTGCAGAACATTAGTTTATATTCAATAATAAATTAGAAATGAGTCCCGCATTGTAGAGTTTTGGTTTCGTTACAAAGTTTGTTTTCTGACATTCCATTACAGTCACATGAGATACATTTGATCACAGGTCACATTGCTGATTTTAGAAATAATCTTCAAATCAGCTTGTTGGAGGATATCATGTTGATTACTTTATTGAGACAAAGACCTAAAATATTGATCTGTCTCCTGGAGTTAAATTGCAATTCTTAGTTATTTCACAGACTTTGAATATTTCATTGGTGATTATGTCACACATCACCTCCATTCTGTGTTTACACAGAGGGATACCTCGATGTTTAGAAACAGACAACTAAAGTGAATGTATTTAATGTCGCGCACGTGATCTAAGTGACTTCTGTTCCGATCCTTGTAGAATTATCAGACAATAAGATATCTGTACAACATAGACAAGCTGGAACTACTCATAATCAACAGTCGTCACTCTAACTGAATACGAAGCGATATGCTACTACAGATCATATAGAGATGTACAAAACTCGATCAGCTCATTTATCATTCCACTCAGTCGTAACGCCCTTCTGATATCGATTGAGCTTATACGATTAGCAATGAAAAATCTGTGGTGTTTTTATGAACCAATGAATGATTCATTTGTATTTGGTGTATGCCTGATTTCTAATTCCAAACACAACAAGTTCGTTAGTGCCCATCTATTTCTGTCTACTTAGATTGCACAATTTCAGGAATTCCTTGTTTGTTCAATAATTCAAAGTTGCATTCACATATACTTAAGTGGTTTGCATCATATCAATCACCAATATTTTCAAGATTATACAATGATGACAACTAACTCTCTGAATATACAATTATACTGATCAACACTGTATTCCGTTTAGTAAGATTGAATCAATTGAACCAGAAGCGGCTTATGACCAGTTTGCTAACTGTTATCTAGCCATGAAATTTCTCCACTGTGCTAATTTCCATTTCTTCAAAAATGTAGATTATCATTTGAAATTCTGCTCACCCATAGATACAAATCAATCCTAACAACCAAGAACCGTGATTTGTACGTAACAGCTTTGATGAATTAGGAGTGGACGTCAAACAACTAAGTATATATCAAAAAAATAAAGCTCAAATATTCACTCAACTCCTTATTTTGTATAGACATTATATTTCCTATTATCTCTTATTGGGTGTTTAAAGGCTTTGTGTGTCTGAACAGGTAATCTCCGTCTCCATTGTGACTGTCCCACAATCTAAATAAAGACCTATTCACCGCAAATCTAGTTTCTTCTATCAATAGAAGGAGGGTTAACTACAGGCACTAAAAGTACTTCATGTAGATTTTTTCTATACACATATATTCTTGATACACAAGGACAGTTATCAGAATAAATAATCTCGATCTCTCATCAATATATGGTTTAATCATCAGGTTATTTAATTTGCGAACTTTGTCTAGAAACGAAAATCTATTGTTCCAAAACCCTACAATTAATGATATAGTATTTAATGTCACTTTGCAAAATACAGAACAATAGTCACAACTGATTGATCACTGGGTGGCGATCAATGTCATGGGTGTCTAGTCCTTACTAGTGCAGATCGAACGCTATCGACCATGTTGCAATGTGGACACCAGCCTAGGTGACTCGACACTGCGTGCACTATATATTGAGATTTAGATGGTGGTTGGAGGTAGTCGACAGGAACACTGGACCGGGGTTTCGTGCTACTTGGCACTCGTCAGCAAGGTGTACCACATTGCAACATGGTAGATAGCATTCGTTCTGCATTGATAAGGACTAGACACGCATGACATTGACCGCCACCTAGTGATCAATCAATTGTGATTACATCTCAGTCCTACAGGAGGTCGGTTGCGGCTCGGATAGCTCAGTGGTAACGTCTCTGACTGTGAAGCTGGGTGACACGAGATCGAATTTGCCAGGGAGCACCAGTTCCCTCAAGATCACAAGTAAACCTTGCTGACGAGTACGAAGTAGCATGAAACCCGGGTCCGGGGTTTCCTGTCGACTACCTTCAACCACCATCTAATCACAGAACAATAATCAAAATGCTAAGCATTTAGATATGCTATAAATTTTTAATTTGTTTCACTGATTAATTTCGTTTGGTTTTTTGTTGAATGTGTGATTAAACTCAAAGGAAAATTTTAAAAAACCATATTCATAATTTCTAGCTGAAAGTTTGAATGTTCTGATTTTCGTGTAGAAAAGAAAGATGAAATAATAAATATTGTATTTATTGTAAACACAAATGGGGCAATCGAATGTATTTCAACACAAAATTACAGAAGCCCTTAGTAAAATCTGAGACCCATACAGTAAAAACTTCATTTGCAAAACACCATTCACCCGTCTCAGAATTCATTGTTCCTTCATCTTCACACCAATCACTCTCTGTTCACGTCCTCTTTCCTTCGATCTTCCTAATCTTCTTCTGCTGTGTATTTCCCTTTCAATTGATGATACATACTACTTATATCTATCGACGTCAGCAGCTCACAACTCAATATCATTGCCAGTTAGTGTGAAATAAGCCTTGTGAAAGTGAAGGAGGCCAATTTTCTTTATGCTATTCAAGTCACTGTATCTCACGTAGCAGACATAATGAGGCTTTGATACTACTGAACACAAAAGAAGTACATCTGGTATAAAGATGCAGAAACAACAGTGCCTATTGTATCCAACTTAGCTTTAATTTTTAAAATGATGTTCAATTAAGATAACCGATGAGGTCTGTCAACAAAGAACAGCTATATGGTGACTAAAATTTAAGCAGCTAGGTTGTCTATCTACAACAGGTCTTTACCATGTAGCGTGGCGTCGAGTTGAGATTAACTATGAACACCGCTACCAAGAAACACGTGCCAAATAAATCGGAAGGCGTAGGTTGGACGTAACCAAATAAATCCATAAAATCTCTGAGAAGCCAAATATCAGAAGACAGTTAATGGACCAAATCGAGATGTATTCGCTGGCGATCTCGTGGCATCGAAAGGATACCGAGATCGTGCCAGAATACAAGCTTGGTTACAGAACGTAACCGAATTCGCGCGAAGTTACAATCAAAGGTGTAAGTAAAAGAATGGAAGCAAAATATAGCTGTCATTAGCACAGTCAAACAAAAGCACATTAAAACAAGCACTGGTACAGTTGGTCATAATAATAATTGTTTTTATTAAACCAGTCGTGTTCTCGTGATAAATGTGAGTCACTACAACCATTTTCAAAAGATACCTCAATTTCACATTTCACGAACATGAAAAATGAGATAATAATATTGTGCTGTGTGTTAATGATGTCGACAGATATAAGTAGTTTTACCATTACTGGAAAGTGAGATGCACGGAGGCAGAAAGTTAGGGAGATCGAAGAGGAGAGGATGAAAACAGAAAGTGGCCGGTGCGGAAAAGAAGAACCACTCAAGTCTGAACTAACTGACAAACATTTTAGAAATAAATTATTTGATATACGATTCTCAGACTTACCAAGTTATTCTGTAATTTCATTTTTTTTAATACAACATTACATATGATATGTTGATGATGTCACAGGTATTCAGTGTTTCACAACGCTTCTACCAGTAACACCTTCTAATATATTTCGTTCCCACCAAGAGAAATCAAAAGACAGAGTCGAGGAGATCGGAAGAGTATATTTGGCGATGACCAATATATCGGAATTCTCTGATCTAATCTGGCTAGCGATTGCGGTTGATGTTGAGCACGGCGTTACCACACGTGATCTGGTGCGGATGCCTGACCGAGCGCCTTCAGCTAGATGGGTCCACTAAAACATATGGTCAGCATCCAATGTCGAAAACTTACAGGGCTATTTATTTTGAGGATTTATTTACCGCTACAATGTGATGCAAGAAGTGCTACTAGAAAAACATCAAACAAACTATTAAAAATCGTGATTTGTGCAAACTTGAAATGATTGACCGCATTATTGTTCTGATTATGGATTAACAGACATGCCACAAATTTCGTTTACGTTTCCGGCACTGGCAAATTTACACATCAACAAGTTATCAACATCGTGGATATTTTTCAGGGAAACTCTGCTCCAGACTGCTTATAATGACTGAATCACTTGCATAGTACACATTAGAAACTATATTATTCGAAGCTATGAAATCATCATGATAAGAATGTAGATAACCAACGTAAATGATCTATGTCAAAATGATTGGAGGCCTACTCGAGTGAGACGTGAATGATGTGACAAACTAGCTAACGTCGAAGTCACACCTCACGGTCAGCACCTTACGTGGATTACCCCATTGACGTATCAATGTACTATAGATGCTTTGAAGGCTGTACAACACAAAGGACGTCATTACAGGAATATATTAGGTAAAGTAGATACAAGCGAATGTAAGACCACTACCGCATGGGCCAGTCCATGGCGTACGATTAAATGATGCATGTTGGTTGTCCTTGACCCTGACGAGGATTGGTGATTTGTTCGATAATCAATGACACAACTGCAGGATGATTTGACTAGGGCTCGGCTGAATTTCACTGGCATTACAAGAATATTCGACTGAAGGATATTATGTGAGTGAACCGATTGAATTTTGCTGCTCAGTTCTCCCCACATCATACATGATGTAAGCGCGTGATGAAACCTCCACTAGTCCACTAACAGAAGTTATCTATCCATGTTTATATTTACTACTCCTCATAACAGTAATACGTTTTTATTGTAAATCGTTTCATAACAAAAAGTGGTAATGAGCTGATTGAAATGTGGTTTAGGGTCAGCTATATACTTTTTTTCTAACAAACATTTTTTGTAGTGAACACAGACTGAAGTGACCTAATACGTCACTTTTAATGAACAAAGAGCATCTCGTTACTAATAGCAATGTCCAGCGCTATGAATAAAACAGCAGACATTGTTACTCCAACTTCAGCTGTGTAAGTTATAGTTTTAGTTATCATTTGAACAATTTCTCACATCATAGGTGTAAAAGTTGGATTTTCAACATGCGGGTTGCTAGTTAAAATTCAAACCAGACACAAAATGAAGTCACCTAAAATTTTTACTTATACACGTGAAAACTGATAATCCAGAAGTCTAGTTTAGCCGACCTATATAACTGACAGCTGTCGGTCGCTTTTAGTTTTAGGGTTAAGTTATTGTTTTCTAAGAAACAACCCATATATATCCAACTAATCATCCAAACAATTGCAAAATCATAAATGTCTACTAGCTATTGGCACAACTGTGGTTAATCATATGACAATATTTACTAGAATGTACTTAGATATACACAAATTAAAAAGCGACGCAAAGATAGGCCTCAAGAATGCTGGTTATTGCCTCAGCAATGAGGATAGTGGGTTGGTTTGGCTCTGCTAACGCGGACACCCTGTTTTCCAGTCGTGATCCAACTTCTCTTTGAGAATCTTCACCAATTAGGCTGATGCTACTTAATCAAGTAGGACGTACTATTCGTCCACCACGTCTTTGGATAAATGTAATCCCATTACTAGTCAATTGATCACTCTACTAACCTTCTTGGAGTAGCCTTGAAGGTGCTTTGTCCAGGCTTAAGGTATGAATTTCGAATTTACCATTGATTTTCTCCCAAACATCTAGTATAATTTCAAAGCAATGGATCAAGCAATCATAAATTGTCCGTTGGATTTTGTTCCCTACGTCATAGTATCAGTTCTTTCTTCTCTCGTAAGGGCCAAAATCTAACACGTATGAACCCCATACTTCAACTTATCAACTGAAATATTGATATGCTACGCGATACTGGACTAGCTATAAGTAATACACCTTAAATAACCACCTATGACATTCAGCTGAGTGGTCCCACCTTAACAAAAGTACCAAGGTGTGGCTGTCTGCACACAATCCAATACTCCAAATTTAGGTCATACTGTACGTGTAGGCTAGCATGCTGAAGTCGAAAACAGTGGACTTTCTATTCATGCATTTTATACTGACTAGATACATCTGCCCTCAACAATCCCCGACTCTTTTGAACAGCAGACAGGAAATACTCGCTACAATATCATGAACCGTTTTATATTTAGCACCATAAATCGTGGAAGTGATAGAAAACCATAGACAACTTAAGAGTTGGACACGGTTTTACAAATGGTTAGCGCAGATAGTTCTAAACGACATGAAGATTGGCTATATATCACCTCCTGTATATATACTGCGTAAAAGAACTCACATGCAAATACTGAATAGAAAGCTGTCCTACGCGCAAACCGAATTCGCAAGTATCAACAAGGAACTGTTGAGACTCCACAAGCCAGTAGTACTGAGAGGAGTTTTGGAAGTGGTATTATGGATGTTAAGCGCAACATTTTCTGATAAAACCCTACTTTATTTACATTTCAGATTCATATCGGTATTACCTGGTTGAGGATAAATACACCATGTCTATAATTGAAATAATAAAAGAACGAACATCCGGCTTGAGACTGTCAACTCGAAACGACAACGTGCGGGGATGCTTGATCAAGGAATACCATTTCAACTGCAGCGTACCAACATTCCTCAAAGAAATACACTTCACCAACTTTTACACTAAAAGCGCTTCTGCACACCTATGTTACCAAGACACGGTAATTCCCACCCATATATATAATACACGTTTGTTTTTTAGGCTTCTGCAGAACCCGTCTGGGTTAATCTCTTCAAAATTCAGATGATGAAAGACATTCACACTTCCTTTGGTGCATGTGCTCAAGTTAGAATAACACTCCCTCCAACTTTCGAAACAGTTAAATCACGGAAACGGTTATTCAAACTATGTATACAGTTACAACAACCCTCCTTAATGTGGAAAGAATATACAATAACAAACGTGCAATTTTTTGATGAGTATTTAGACAATTCTAACCAGACCACAACAGATTCCACTGAAGGTCGACACACACATCTAATCAATGAGACACAGAATGCTTTGACTACACTTTGCACACTAATAGAATTTAAACAAACGATACAAAGCCGTGAACTTAACGAAATAGATATCTTAGCACTATCTGACGCACACTTTGAAATTACTTGAAGTTACCAGAAATTTACAGGAAGACTAGTCACGTATTTAACATACCATTGAGATTGAGAAAAACCACCACATAACGGGAGTATATTTACGAACATGGAAGGCGTGCCCAGAGCTTATTGGGATGAGGATGAAGAAAACAAAAAGCGTTCATGGTATGCCAAACTAGTTCTCCCAAATGATAGTATCAACGACACTAGAGACAAAGTGGATAGGCAGTCTTACCATATGTTTACTTTTACACCGTAAAATCTTATGGAAATGTCCCATTCCTCGCAGAAACTAACGATATAACTCAAAGTGACGCAGAAAGGACAAAGTATTTGAGGTATAGACGCGATATATCTAAAAGAACTAGTTGTAATGAGTCTTGACACTTCATAATACAACAATACTGAAAAGGACTTAGTTTCCGAATGCATGAAAATCTAAATTGTTTGTGACTGTAAATTAAATAATACTGAGTACTCGTTATTGCAAATTATTGTAGTGTTCTGGAAAATACATTGTTATGTGGTCTTCGACCAGTACATACTTCTTTCTGTAGACAAAGACAAGTTAATGCTCGCTCCCGATGTTTATAAAAATATAAAGGGCTTCTCGACTTTTAAATGGTCCACTAAGTTCATTTAAGATATAAATGGTCGAAAGATCAACAAACACAAAGATAATACTGCGAATCGATTGACATGACAATGGAAAATAATTCTTCCATATGAAAAACTTTTATCAGTAAGCAAAAAGAGTAGTATAGTTACAGAAATTTTCAAACAAGACAAATTTTTGTATACTCATATAATATATGCAGAAAAGTAATAACCGCGGATAGTACCTATACATTCTTTATTTACACAATCATATCATTCTACGAATCATTTCATTTAATTGTTCTTCTCGAAACCCTGTTAGAGAATCAACACGAGCGTGACAGCGCCGTGAACCTGACATCCAATCACGACTGGATGACATAAGTTTGAATGGACATAAAAAGCGCTGAACGGCCATGAAGTTTGAACCAATAGTTACAAGTTCGTGGATAATGTCCTCTATGCACAAAATCCCACAGTGACCTTTGAAAAACAAATAGAATAATGATTTCAAAGTGATAAATCTAGATGAGTTTATCCACAAGACTATCAATGTTTGTATGAAGTAACATGCAAAACTACTGATAGTTTTCGGAATATAAATATCTGCAGTGTAACTAAAATAATATATCACACCCTCTTAACTTATATGGACAAGCAGGCATGAAAAAAGACGGCATAAAATGCATCAGTCCACTGTGGCACTTCAAATTAACACAAAAAGAGATGCTAATGTCAAAAGAAAATGAGTCAAACGACAGATACCAAGGATAACGCCTTAATCTAGCGGTCACAATACGAGACCAAGACTAAGATGTCTACCAATCATAAATGAAGTAGAACCTAGCGCACATATGCATCATTTTAAGTTGCTACACGACACATGTATAGTGGGATATCAGAACACTATTAGCAGTTACAGTATTAGCGGTAGTAAAAAAGACTATGTATAAACGATGCGCGGTTTGAGAAAAGTTAGATTCATGGAATCAAACAAATTGCAGAATAAGTTGTAAATTTAGGACCGAAGGGAGAGTAAAGGGTGAATAGATTTGAGCCGCATCGCTTAAAGCGTAAAACTAATGGTTATGAAAATCCCACGAAACACAAATAGATTGTCCGTACTTACTACTTATAGAAATTACCCAGTCCGAATACCAATGACATCAAGGACTGATGCCACGAATTGACTTGACCATCTACAGCTTATTCACCAACCTAGTGATATAACAGCCATTATCGCGTAACACAAATCCAAACGCCAAAATAGATGTAGATTCGTAACTTCATCGGCCGGCTTCTATGTGTACCCAGTATTTACTTACGCCTGTCACCCCTCATTTAGCACAAACGGTCGACCACAATTCTCTTACCAACTCTGCCCTGGACTCACCTTTACAGTTACTTCTGAGTGCTATTCAGCCTTTTGATGACTGCCTCCAATTTCAGGAGCAGTGGGTTCTTTTTTTGCCTCATTTTCTTATACCTTTAGGATTCCAAGTTGAGGCTCGCCTCGTGACGCAGATGGATGACTTCTACAATGTATGTCCTATCCACTTTGAGCATTCTTTCCAGATTTCCTCTTCAGAAGGAAGCTGATTTGTTCTCTGCTATAGTAGGTTCTTACTGATGGTATCCGGTCAACGGACATTGAGTATCTTGCGTGAACAACAGCTTATAAATACCTGTATTTTTTTATGATGGTTGTGACAGTTCTACACGTTTCGACTCCGTATAATAAAACTACCTTAACGTTAGTATTGAAAATTCTGAGTGATGTCTTTGTTTTGAATTCTTGGTGTTCTTCAGTTGTTGGTGTCTAGCGCTTTGTTGGTTAGTGTCTTTACATCTGCATCAGTTCCTCCTTACTTATCGACGATGCTGCTCAGGTGTGTGAACGCTTCCACCGCTTCCAGAGCCAGTTGTGTCGCATTTTGAGATCTCGCTTTTGTCTTGTGAACGTTGACGCCTACTGCTGCACAGGCTGCTGCTACATTATCTGTCTTTACCTACATTCATTGCTGCGTATATGATAGAAAAAACTAGGTCATCTGCGAAGTCGAAATCTGCACCTATCTTCAACTTGAGCTCTACGTTTAACTTCAACACAGCCTACTTGGTGTAGCTGTCAAACTATTCGGAAAGATTATTCGGATGGGTGTCCCGAACTATGTGGGAGGAAATAATCTTTTAGCCAGGAAGGAACATGGTTTCAGGAAAGGCGTTTCATGCTCGACAAATTCCATTACAAGAGAAGATTGGGCTGCAGCAAAAGGTATTAATATCCCAGTACATGTAATTTTCATGGATTAGAGTAACTCTTGACAAGCTCTCTTACCTGGGTCTCAAATTCAAACTGGGGAGGTTTGAAACCCATTATGAAAGCATAGACTGTAAAAATGACTTACTCGATGATCGGAGACAACGGGTACGTGCAAATGGGGCTCTATCAGTGTGGGAATCTGTGAAAAGTGGATGTCATCAAAATACGATCCTCAGCCTGACTTCTGTGAGACCGAATTCGGAATATGGGATTCAAACGAAGAGTCTCTGTTCCAAGTACGAGGTGTATATGCTAGAACAAGTCCAACGACTAGATTAAAATGGTGTAAGATCGCGCTGTCCTGTCTTATGAAGACAGACTGAGACGCCTCCACCTATTTCCGTTATTTGCCGCAGGTTACGGAGTGATTTAATGCCGACTGGCCGTGGACTGAACGATGACCCTGGTCTTAATGTTAAATCTTTTCCCTGCATCGAGAACTAATCATCCGAGAGTACATTTCAAAAGTCTTCAAGAACAGAGATCAAAACATTTATGACTGGAGATCTGTTTCTCGCACAGTCCAGTAAATTACTGGAATTCCCTGCCAGAGCACATAATATCACCACCTTCTGTAGGTATTTCTAAAACTATATTACATCTTCACAGTGCTACAAATTGAAAAGATTGATATCAGTCTCCTGAGCTCCTAAACTTGTTACTTAAGACTGTGACAGCACTTGGAAGACCTCGTAGTGTATAAATCTAACAAGACTAATTCATTTTAAATCCCCAGTTGATCAAAACACTTAGTAAAAAACAATTTTGGTAACAAATTAACACTTAAGTTCACCAATATTTCTCTAAGTCAGTCTAGACACACGGACTCGGGTAGTATTAAAATTTTGAGGTTCTAATCAGAAACTTAGAAAGACACACGGTAGTTTAATTATGTATTAGTAAATTCAGAAGTTGATCGCAAAAAATGTCATTACAACTGAAACCAGCACACAACCTACCTAGTTTCTCTTCAATTATTTTGTTGTCGATTGAATGTTTGTGTCTACCAAGCATAGTACGCCCACGCTTCATAACCATATCGCGTACCACTTGCAGGGACGGATAACCCCATACCACATAAGGTGAAACAATATTCAACAAACTAAGAGTAGCCTAGAAAACAATAAGATCATAACTATTGAAACCTTTGTAATTTTAATGAAAACAGCTTGATTGCGTGTGTCAAGACGAAGTAATCGGAATACATCCTTACAAACATCCGCAAGTTGCTCTTCATCATCCTTTAATCGAATGACAACACCCAGTCTTGGTTGATCAGATGTTGAAAACGGAGATTTGCGCTTAGCAATCCGCTGCAAGCGTAACTCATCGTATGACCGTCTGAGACCGGTCTGTGGGTTTGTGATTTCGCAAAGTTATCCTCACCTTTATAAAACGGATCGGTGGTTGGATAAGACTTCTGCGTTTTCGGGCACGTTTACGCAACTCTTCAGAACGCAGGCGCTGTTGTTTGATTATATCCCGGCTAACCCTTTTTCTTCTTTTAAGAAGTGTAACAGGAATTGTGTTGAGTTTAACAGGCTTGTCCTCGTCCCTAAAGTCTAAACAACGGACGAATGTAAACTTACATGACTAGTACCGAAAGATCCAGAAAACGCGCTCACCTAGTTATGTTTCAGTTTCAGTTCGGAAACGACAGGAGGCTTGATGACCTATGTTAGTCCTGACAATGGTGGTCTCTCAGATGATCCAAATTTCCTTTGAAAGAGTCGATGGATGGAGCCTCAAACACGGGCTGAGCTAATGAATTCCACTCGTTGATGAATCAATGTGAAAGTCGATAGTCAATGACAAGTAATTTGTCCTGGGCTTGTGAACGTTTTCGGATTGTCCTCGTAAATTCTCTATTTTGGAAGACAAGAAAAGTGAAGGCATATTAGGTGCAAAATTATCACTCAGCAATTTGAAAACTGTAATCAAGTCGCCTCTAGTTCCACGATATGACAACGGGAAAAGGTTTAGCTTGGCCAGTCGAGTATCGTATGGAAGCTTCTCTATTCCGGGAATCAGCTTAGTTGCTGTTCTCTGAACCTTTCTGAAAGTTTACTGTCTTTTTTAAGCAGGGGTTAGCCGTTTATATGCAGTACTCAAGTTTAGGATGTATGAACATTGTATACAAAGTCAAAAACACTTTAGCGTCGATATGACATTTGAACGATTATTGCACGTCAGATACTAGTTGACATTTTACATCATCTTGAATTCTCTTCGTACTATACGTAACATAAGCAAAACAATTTTAATATGCCTGTATATCTGTATTTTTATTTTGAAAAAACAAAAAAAATATTATAATGATCTCTTTTATACGCTATTACGTGTGCATGATTTTATTTCCCTTTTTCGCCCGCTTTGTGTTTTTTACGCGCGTACGAGTGTATTTCGACATGCACTCACATATATTTTTCTTTTCTAGGACGGCTGGAAAAGTCGAAAACGAACGACGAAGTTTGCGATGAACCGAAAGTTTCATTGTCCTTTTTCTTTTTTTACTATATTGTAATTCATGGTCCGTTATAATAAGGGAAGACGACCAGATGCTGCTAAACCTAACAAGCTATCAGAAGAGTGTTTACCAACGACAAACTCGTTGGGTTTAAACTTCTGGCTGCCCACGTCTTAGAGTCATCACCATTCCATTGGGGGGATGATCTGTAGCGGTAAATAAATCCCCAAAATAAATAGCTCTGTAAGTTTTAGACATTGGATGCTGACCACATTAGTTTTAATGGACTCACCTGGCTGACGGCGCTCGGTCATGCATCTGCACCACATCACGAGTGGGAATACCGTGTTCAACAACCCTTGCAATTGCTAGCCATATTAGATCAGACGATCGTCGATACATTAATAGCCTATCAAGTATATCATCGAACCTCCTCGTTTCTGTCTTTTGGTTTCGCTTGGTGGGTACGATTCATAGTAGAAGGTGTTACTGGTTAAAGCGTTGTCAAATTCCTAATACCTGTGGCATCTTTACTCTACGTATCGACCATAAAGTTCTAAAACCTTTGGCGGCTATTGCGCAGTAGTGTACAGTAGTCTTCAAGTCTTGGCCAACGATGACTCCTAAGTCATTGTGAGTCTGGACAACCCGGGTCAGTGTTATTCATCATGTATGTATCTGTACCTTGATGACCGATATGCATCACGACACACTTGGAAGTATTTATCGGCAACTGCCAGGTTTGAGACCATTCAGATAATTCCTTCAGGTCATTTCGGAGTTCTAAGCTGTCACCCTTACTTCTTATCGCTCGCCATTTCTCGATATCGTCAGCATATAGCAAGACCGATGATGATAGGAGACGATGAAGGTCATTTACATACAAGAGGAATGACACTGGCCTCAAAATCGTACCCTAAGGCACTCCACTAAGCACAGTTCCCCAGCTAGGTAACTTTGAGTTCACCCGTACTCTTTGTTGACGCCCAACTAGGAAGTCTTTTATCCACACCAATACATTGCCTCCAATCCCGACATTTCTTAACTTATATAACAGCCGGTTGTGCGGAACCTTGTCAAAAGCTTTGCTGAAATCAATGAAGGCTACGTCTACAGGTAACTTTCAGTTTTTAAGGGCGCACCAGCTTTCACGAGCCACTAACAAATTAGTGAGACAAGAGTAACCTATTCTGAAACCGTGCTGCTTCTCCGAAAGGATCCGGTTTTCATCGAGGTACTTAAACAGCTCCTTCCGAATCATTTTTTCTAAGATTTTAACAACCACACTAGTTAGGCTAACGGGGCGGTAATTCTCAGGTTTGTGTTTCGTACCTGTTTTGAAGACAGGACTTACTATGGCGGTTTTCCAGTCTTTTGGTAAACGACCCTGCGTTACGGATAGGTTAAAGCATATACTTAAAGGGTTCACAACGAAGTTAGATAATTCCTTCAGTAGCCTAGGATGTAATTCATCGGGCTTCGTGGATTTACCTATGTCAAGCTTATTTAGTAGACCAAAGACATCGAGTTCTTTAATGGTCACGCTATCCAGTGTATATGTGGGGGAATCTGTATGCACTGACGGCAACGGTGCTTCGATGTTATATACATTGCTAAAGTAGTTCGAGAACACTTGAGCCTTACCAAAGTCGTCCTCCACTAATGATGAGGCAGTACTGTATCCGTATAATGCTGAAACATTTCCTCTTCTTTTTGTCCTTTGGTTTGTATATGAATATAAGCGTTTGGGACACTATGGATTCCCTAACAATTTTCTCGTCGTATAACTTTCTAGACTTACGGAGGGTCGAGGAACAGGTATTCCGAGCTTTTCGATACTGAGATTTTGTCTCATCAGTCCCCAGTAACCCAAATATATCCCACATTTTTCTTCTCTTACGGAGAAGAATGCGGACCTCCCTACTGAACCATGGTGGGGAGTTTCTCAGCCCCTTGGTATAGTCCAAGGGATGTAGGGCATGGCAACTTTTAAGTATGAATTTCGAAATACGTCCCAGGTCGTTTCAATTGAGGACTCTGGGTCTATTGTCCAATCTACTAACGATGCTGAGTGTATGATATCTGGCATGTTCGCTTTCCAGACGTTAGGTCTAGATTGGACTGACACGTGCTCATGACTGACAGTTATATGGAAGTCGAAAGTTAGAACTGCATGATCACCTTTACCTAGGGGTGGCATATAATAGAGGTTTGCAACGTCATCCTCATAGTGAATCAGTATAAGACCTAGTAAGGATGATCCAGTGTCCGGGTTGTACCTAGTCGCTTCTTGTACGTATTGCGCTAGAACACATGTGATAACCGCATCAACTAGTTCCTGCTCGAAGGAATTTTCTGACGATTCAGTTCGCAGATTTACGCAGTCTACCACTGGTGCATTAAGGATTAGACATCGACCACTTTGTGACCAAGTATTGAGACTGTTTAACAGGATCTCATTTACCTCACAGCTTGGACTGCGATATATCAAACCAATCAGCAGCTCTTGTCCTTTGCATTTCAGGCGGCAACTAACCAATTCACACGTCCCACTCTCATGCGATACACTGTTGATAATGGCAAATGGGATAGCATTCCTAGTGAATAGAGCTACTCCCCTTCCTTTACGTTTTGTATTCTCTCGGTCCCTACTAACGTAAAACCCTCGAAATAAAGTTCCATACTGTCTATAGACTGCGTCAACCAAGTTTCTGTGACTGAGATTATGTATGGCTATATAAAGTCAATTTGTATACCTAGTTCTGATCGCTTATTGAGCAAGCTTCGGGCATTAGTGGAAAAGATCCGAAGCGTATTTAGTTAGCTTCGTGCTTCACTCGGAGTATCCTCGGCATCATTCTCTGCCGAAGCCTCACAACCCGAAAATTTACAATTTTTAGGTCCTTTTCGCCAGCGTCTAACCTAATTTGTAGTTGTTTTTCGACTTCCCGTCTTTTTACACGGTCCGCAAATGGTAAGCCCATAAGGATAAAAACTCCTGAACTCTTTGATTTATGTCCATTCTGTAAAATTAAGTCGCGTTCATTCGGAGATTCGAACAAGTAGCTGTTTTATCAGCACAACGTCATGCTCAAAACGAGTTTTCGGTTCAGTTTTCAATCTCTTTGATTCTATGAAACACATTGACTTGTCACTGTGATCAGTCTTCAGTTTGTCAGCTATTTTTGTGGGATCAGGATTCTTGTCTACAACCTGTACCCATTCGTCAACGTTGCTTGGAGAAGCAACCACAGTTGCGTGAAACATACTGTGGGATTCCGGAGGGTTGTCCACCACTTGGGAGATTAGGTAGTATTTACCGCTAGAAAACCATCGAGCGTCGCGATTGTGGATTCTAGACGTTCCCTGCTAGTTACCATTTGGAAGACGGAGGACAGAAGAAACTTCTTTTCTTGAGTTTTTAGCTAGGGCGGACGTCTTCGCAGACCGTTTTTCCTCCTTTGGTCGATGTGAGCCAGCTGTTTTCGGACTCACCCGAGTTCTCTTCACACCACTTTGCGTGTCGACATAGGGAGTGCTGTCCGATGTGTCCCGAATTTTTTGCAGCATTTACCACTGGGATGGCATCGGTTAGCAAGCTGTTTGCATCCGAACAGCACTGCTGGCAAAGCCATACGCAACCGTTTTTACTGAACCATTTAAAAGCCGCAGGCGTTAAATTCGTGCAAACTTTGTGATAACAGCCTTTGCACTCATCTCACTGCATGCCGCTATGACCAAAAACAGTGGAAAACTGTGAATTGTTAGAACTAAAAGTAGTAACAGATACAATAGAAAACAAACTACTCAAAAGTAACGACGATAAACTACCTTAGAAACAGAAACGATACTCTAAACGGATACTTTAACTTAAATAAATTTAATTAAAGTGCAAACGGCAGTCCTGGTACGTGAGAAACAATCAAAACAACAGAATTGACTCAGCGAGGAAACATATCACTGAAATTATCTCCTTGAAAATATTCACCGATGGCGCTTATACCAATTGTTTGGGTAAAGCGTTCCAGTCACTGACTACTCGATGAGAAAAACAGGACCTCACTTTAAGTTTGTTAGATCGCAGTTTGTGAACCTTCTTGCTATGATCAAGTAGATTGTTAGTGTTGTAGGTAGCAAACAGATAAGACATATTAACACCCAAATCATAATTAAAGATACGAAATTCTAGTGTAAGGTCACCTCGCGTCCTACCATACAAAGGGAAAAAGTTTAGGCGCTTTAAACGCTCATCGTAAGGGTGTTTAGAAAGACCTCACTAATTCGTTCCCACACACTGGACACGCTCAAGTGAGTTAGTATCGTTTACCAGACTTGGACTAGCTGCTGGTATACAATACTCTAAGTGTGGTCTTACATAGGTGCGACATAAAA